ATTACGAGTATTGACATTTTGCTCACGTGTCTACCAAAGCTATTTTTTATATCTACCTAGTATCTAAATATACACATTTAATTATGTTTTCAATGCAACCCTTTCGGCAATACGAATTCCACACGTATAAATATAGATATCTAAACGGAAGTATGAGAGCCATATATAGAAGCGTTGACGGATATTGATATATAATGTTGCACATAATAGGCGGGCGTCGACGTCACAGTATCCATCACCAGCTGCTTCCCAGCTATAGAGAGATGAAATCGACCGAATCCTAATGACGTACGTGGCTTCCTTTACATCCTTAATACTACGGCTATATTTAGGCATGGAAAGCCCCAGAGCATTCTGAAGGCAACCATATTAGGAGATTTTTGAATAAAGGTATTCCTTGCGCGATGACTTGCACCATTCTGACATTGCGTTTACATTGCGAGTGTTCAGGTGTGCGCGTGTGCGGTTGTGTGTGCGTGCGTGCGCACGTGCGTTTTTCTTTGTTTGTTTGTGTCTTTGCTGTGTTTGAATTGCGTGTGTGCGTGCATATGCGTATATGTATATATATATATATATATATATATATATATATGTGTGTGTGTGTGTGTGTGTGTGTGTGTGTCGTGTGTGTGTCTGTTGTGTGTGTGGTGTGTGTGTGTGTGTGGTGTGTGTGTGTGTGTGTGTGAGTGTGTGGGTTGGGTGTGTATGTGTTGTGGTGTGTGTGTTTGTGCGCGCGTGATCACGATGTGTGGCGTGTGTGTATCTGTGGTGTTGCTTGCGTGTGTGTGCATGGGCGGTAGTGAAGACGATGGCCTGTGCACATAGAGGTTTATACAATATACTACGTGCCAGTAATCTACGCGTATCAACTCAGCCGGTGTCATATTATTCGAGAAGACATGGATATGTACGAAGCAAAAATTCCAATATATTTGTAACATATATATAGTATATATTATAGTATATCATACTATGCGTTAATACGTGTATAATAAATACATCATACATTACTGACGTACGCACATTGACAATAATATCTGCATGTGTCTGGACTCCATATAATTAAAAAACGATAATATATGAAGTAAAGCCACATGCAGTGTAATGACGTGGGGCACTATTTAGAGCTGAATCGACGCTGCAAGTCAGTAATAAACGGACAAGACGACTCTCACACGTGTAAAACGTATAGTACTGAGTTTAAAGAACTACCAGACGCGCCCATACATAACCGGACGCAGGCACATTCAGAACATGACGTCAGCTCACGAATCATGTCACTAACAAAAGCGAGTCTCTCCCGTTCTGCTAGTGTACGTTCTATCATATACACAAACAACACGCCAACAATATGCACACGCCTTATCTGCATTTTTATTATTGTGCGTACGTCAGTCATGTATCTATACTATTAAAGTAAGACATTTCGGGATAAAAAAAACTTTGGAGGGGAATGACTGGCGATTGAACCCGTAACACACACTGTCGACAAATGTTGTCCCGTATCTCTGCTTCAACTTTAAGAAAATGTAATGTCGAAAAATGTGATTTTGAGAGGGAAAACCTTGACAAATCTGTTATACAACAATCTATAAAAGAACGAGGGATAATCTGTTGTCCATCTCCAACGCGTAATCATGTTCTGTAACGTCATACGAGCCCAGTGGCCGAATTCACATAAGCACGGAACTCCATTCCTTTCAAAAACCATTGCTTCAGGTTTCGAATCCAGACACTTGGAAAATCTGCGTTTCTTTCTTTGGACTTAGTTGTACTTCTGGCCAGACTTTCACAGTCTAATTTCAAAATTTCAGAAATTTTATAGCTACATCTAAACGTTTCGATAAAAATCCTAGACGAATAAACTATGGACATGATAAGAATACGCAAACTGACGCGGAACCAGCTTCACGAATGCTCTATTAGGTTACAGATCAAATATTATTATATTTTTTTATAATTCTTACTTTAAATTTATTATTTATTATTTATTATTTTTTACTTTTATGTCTTTTATCTTTTGATTTCTTATTATTTTTTATTGTTTGGGATGGGATGGGATGGGATGGCATGCGATGGCATGCGATGGCATGGGATGGGATGGGATGGGATGGGATGGGATGGCATGCGATGGCATGCGATGGCATGGGATGGGATGGGATGGCATGGCATAGCATGGAATGGCATGGTATGGCATGGCATAAGATGCGGCGTGATGGGATGGGAGTGGATGGCATGGCATGGCATCGGATGTCATTGGATGGCATGGGATGCGATGCGATGGGATGGGATGGGATATGGGATGGGATGCGGTGCGATGTGATGGGATGGGATGGCATGGAATGCGATGAATGGATGGATGCATGGATAGATAGATAGTTAGATTGTTTGGGGTATTTTCTTTTCAACCAAGCAGTCACCAACTGAGTAACGCCACTGATTTCCCGGGTAACGCCGGGTATCCCGCTAGTGATGTATTTATTATACATATGTATTTATGAATCACGCGCATCAACGTCATCGGGGCCTATTTAAAGCATTATTCGAGAAGATGGATATGTACGTAAGCAAAAATGTACAAATATATTGCATTTATATATTACGTAAATGTCCATCTTCTCGAATAATGCTTTAAATAGGCACCGGTGACGTTGATGCGCTTGATTACTGGCACGTATGTAACCATCATGCGCCGGCATCGCGCTCATACCACGCACATGCACATACAGATACACACACGCACACACGCACACGCGCGCACACACCCTCGCACATACAAACACATGAGCACACACCTGCGCAGGTCTGTCTCGTACGTACGTAGGTAGACGCCTATGCTTCCGCGGAGAGCAATCGAGTCAGTAGAAGCAGCGGTTGCGCTTCGTTGGCGTTGGTTTAGTATAGCGAGCGAGCGGGGCAGGAAGTAAAGGTAAATGAATGTTAGTAGTGTGAGAGAAAGCGAGAGTTGCGCGGCACAGGCGACCGGTTTCGCTGTAAACGAGCTCCGGGCGTGCGTGGAGAAGGACAACGTTGTTCATACTCACACACTCGTTCGGCTGCGTTTTGCGTAGCCAGTAGTGCAGACTCGTGCGCTAGCTCGACGTTCAGGCTTTCTCGAGACGCAAAAAAAGAGAATAGAGAGTATAGGGAAAGTAGAGATAGAGAGAGAGAGAGCATAGTAGAGAGGAACATACAGACGAGACGGTTTACGGTGAAATGGCCTCGTGTGCGTATACAGCGATAGTACGAAGCACAGATAGAGATGTTGCGAGAGGTGATAGAGAGATGAGTTTTCCCGCTGGCAACAGCACGCTGCCAGCAAGATGCAATAAGGAGAATGGAGATGAAAAGTGCCGCAAGTACAAGCATCAGATGATGAAGCGCTATTGTAAGTATACACCCGGTACGTGTACGGTGGAGTGTGTGTGTGTGTGTGTGTGTGTGTGTGTGTGTGTGTGTGTGTGTGTGTGTGTGTGTGTGTCGTGCGTGCGTGCGTGCGTGCGTG